TTTTAAAGGATTTGCCACTGACGATTCAAACGCGAGTTTTGAGCAGTGTAGATTAGCGCTTGTTCTTTGTCATTGGATTTATGTTGACAAAGACAGTATAAGTCATTATAATCTGCAATTATGTCCCCACTGGATGCAACAAATGCCTCGTTTATAATAGGTTTTAATGTTTTTGTCTTGTCGCTCCGGCCGGACAGGGCATCACAGTATGTGAGGGGCGTAACATTTCCATCACACGCTTGAGGTATTCGGCCAATCACAACGTACTGGATAGCTGACCAATCAGAGCACACCTCGCATTTCAGACCGACCAGCTTTGTAAAAATCGACTCATTTTAGAAAGGCTGGGCATAGAGGAAAAACATTAATGTACAGTATGTGGAAAATTATGTGTTTTTTGAACCGTAAACCACATAAACACATTTCATTACACCAAATACACAAAATAATGTTCTTTTTAGCAACATCATATGACCCCTTTAAATATATATATATATATATATAGCTAATTTAAAACAATAAAATAGTTTGTTTAATTTTAAATAAATAAATCTGACATTTTATCAAATATATGCATATATAAATATTTAATTTAAATACATATTTATATAAATATTGAAATATACGTATATAGATATTAAACAAGCATATTTACAAAACTATTTTTAGAGACAAACTGTACGACATCTGTTGTTACTGATTTGTATCCTCTAAGAATGACTTGGGGAACAGTTGAGTTAAGAGGAATGTGAATATTGTTCTGCGAAAAGGTCTAACAACATTTGCCAACTTAGCCATTTGCCATGACATTTACAATGCATGCCCTAAATATCCAGATATTTTTTTTTGGATCATCTGTATTCCCTGTTTTCTCTATCCTGTCCAACTAAAATTAGGTGGGCCCCCCAGACAGATGGGCCCTTACACCATTCACAAGACGTAACTCCGAGTCTGAGAGTAAAGGCAGGCATTCTTCGACTAAACAATGAGAAATGCATCTCTATTAATGACTAGAGAGCAGGCTGAACAAAGAGCTGCCTGCAGGGACCCAGCAGTCTAAACACCCCACCCACGCACCCACCCTCACGCTGTCAAACCACAGTATGCAAAACCGGTCATCTGGACCCAAAAGACGTGACTTATGACCGTGTATTACCGTAGAGATGCCCAAAAGTCAGCATTGTAAGAGGACGCACAGTTAGTCTTCGCGTCAGGGAGGGTTGGCTTCATCCTGACGTTGCGCCGCTGTTGCGCTCAGTATCTTCACCACAAAATCAACCCAAACGTGGCCATCTTTCAGCGTGATTTGACATCGAGCCATCTGGGAACCTAGGAGATGACATTTATCGTCAACGTGAGTATAAATATGGTTTTATAATTGAATGGGGATTTGGTAAACACGGTGTGGTGGAAGTTGACGTGACTGCCCGCTGGCAAATATTACATCACTGCTGCTGATCCACATTTAACGGAGATGGTGGTTTTGTTCCTTATTAAGAATGAACTAACTCGACATTTATGCGTGTTGTTATTTTAAAATGCTTAAATACAAACGTTGTAGACGTGTGCGCGTGCAATGTTATCTCCGCTCACATACGCCCGTTTTTACGCTCGCATCGTCGTTAACATTAAATGTCTGCACTGTGTGCGTTTTTTACGGTCTTGAAGGTGGTTTTCTCAGCTTTTAAAATAATTAATTCCCGGAATCAAGGCCCATAAGAGGCACGTTAGTGTAAAGAAACAAGCGGTCATGGACAGGCTGTAGGTTTTTTTTTGTTTTGATGCTGATTTTACATTATTTATTTATGTTTCGACTTGGCTTTCGTAATGATGGTGCATTTTATGTAAAAAAAAAAAAAAGAGAGAAAAGAATATACACGTGATAAATCACTAAATAGGCCCACAGGGCGTGCTGCTGTTATGTCAAATGGGCGCATGAGGCCTGTGTTTGCGCATATCGATCACAACACCAGCGGTTCGTGAATAAACACCAGTCACTTCATCACCTGAAAACATCGGGCCTTATTGATCATATTATGAATGCTAAAAATTCTCGGATATATATATCTGTGTGTAATAAAACATTAAAAAACACAAAAAATAAACCGCATATTAGGCCTGTTAATGTACACGTATGAATGTTTGATATACTGTATGTCATTTACTGACAGTGATTCTTTAATACGGGTAACTTTTCTGTCCCCTAAATACTATAGTTTCGAAGAATAGATTAAAATACATTTAAGCTTTTGATTTTAGTAGTTTTATTAGGTGTCATTACCATAGAGGTTATTATTGTAGAATTGTACAACCCATTTCTATGGTTAACAGACTTTTAACTTGTTGTGTAAGCAAGTCCAAGGTTTATCTTTAACCACCACATATCATATTATACCAAATCCACTTGAATTCATATAAATCTTATAATATCTTTATTACTGGATGTGACAAATATTGTAACGCAGATTAAAACGGTCAGAAGATGTTGCTTCGAAAGTGGCACTAATTGAAGAATCAGCCACTATCAGCATTGTCTGCAACTTTCTTCTGTAAATATTGTTAGAATGCATACTCTGATAAACAAACATTTTGGATGCTCTTGACAGTGTGCAGTTCTAACCATAGCAGAATGTTATTCTCTGGACCCGTAGTGGTAATTTGATTATTTCTATGTAGAGGAACACCACTGAATATACCCTAACGCTTATTTTGTGTTACATAACTGATACAGGTTTCTTTCTGTCTCTGAGAGAACTTTCTAGTCTGATTCCATTTAACAAAAGCAGTTTGTGTTGAAGAGATGACTGAGATGTCGTCATTTCAGTTTGGAGCTTATTATTGATTCTGAGTGGTTAAAATTGACCATGATAGTGCAATATAGTAAAACTGACTGTAGAAACTGTGTCATTTTTGTTTAGCTTACCATTTTCATAACACAGTAGTTTATTTGATAGAAATCATAGTTACGTGTAATACGGTAATTGAGGATGCTTTGGGTAATGTTGTCATTTGGTAATTGTAGAAGGGCTATAAATGTGTATGTAGTCTGTGGTCGGCTTTTCCATGTTTTTGCTGAACAGGAGCTTGATGTTTACTTTTCATCCTGACAGACTTTTTACATGGAAGTGTGAGAAACAGAGTAAGAAAGTCTAGCACAAAAAAAGTTGTTTTCGCTCACTCTGCTATATTACTTATTATTTTACCATTATCTGGTCTCGTATAAGTTTTAGATTTTGTGTGCGTGTTTAGTGCCTTGGCCAGCATTGATGTTTTTTTTTTTTGGGGGGGGGGGGGCATTTAAACATGAGTCACTGGGAAGACACACATTTTAGAAACCAGTAAACCCTTTTTATCTCTAGAAGTCTATTCAAAGACAGTTTACTCATCATTTTATGACTGTAACCTGTTTTTCTTTAGATTTCCAGGCTATTGTTATCTTACTTCAAGTTGCCAAAATGGCTGTTTGAACGTAACATCTATCTTTAAAGTCTTGAAATTACAATAGTTTTGTAAACACAGCCTGTAATTCAAATCATTTTCTGCAGGTTGGTTCAAATAGGCTATGTTCAGTTAGTCAGTCTCTTCTTCTACTGTAAAAAGAAAGAGCATTAATAATTTAGCATGCATTTGCATAATAACATTTAATCATCTAAAATATGATAGCAGAAAACCAATCTGAATTATATTCCAAATGTACTACTCAGTTGCTTTAATAAATAGCACAAACAAAGCCTGTTTTTAATGTTCTTTACCCAAACCTCTCTTTGTGCATGTGTGAGAAGCCGTCTTGTTGCCGTCTGTGTGCAGCTGTCTGTCTGATCTTGTAGCTAAATGCCTAGTCTGTGGAATGTAGTGGCTGTCATGGCCTAGTTATGTAACAATGAGACTTGAAAGCGGGAGAGAGAGCATTTTCTGCCCCCTTAACCTGCCTCTCAGTCCCTTTCTCATTTTATTTACGACAGCAATAGATGAGGATGTTGTGATGTAGCTCAAATGGCACTAATAATTTCACCCAATAATACCAGCCAAATAATTGCCCTGGTCAATCTAACGATCTGTCATTAGTTGCTCCCATACAGTATGTCTCAGTAGTGTGTGACTGATTAGATGAAGTCAGGCCAAACTGACTCATGAATTACTGGAAATAAATGCCTCAGACTGTGAACTAATTTAAGCTCTAAGATTTATTTCAGTGTTTCTCCTGCAATGTCAAGTTGGAAATGGAACTCATCAGCATCCTGTGAACACAAGTCGTGGCCTAATTAGAGAGTCGGACCCGTAACCCAAAGGTTTGTGGGGGGGGGGGGGACATTTAAACATGAGTCACTGGGAAGACACACATTTTAGAAACCAGTAAACCCTTTTTATCTCTAGAAGTCTATTCAAAGACAGTTTACTCATCATTTTATGACTGTAACCTGTTTTTCTTTAGATTTCCAGGCTATTGTTATCTTACTTCAAGTTGCCAAAATGGCTGTTTGAACGTAACATCTATCTTTAAAGTCTTGAAATTACAATAGTTTTGTGTAAACAGCCTGTAATTCAAATCATTTTCTGCAGGTTGGTTCAAATAGGCTATGTTCAGTTAGTCAGTCTCTTCTTCTACTGTAAAAAGAAAGAGCATTAATAATTTAGCATGCATTTGCATAATAACATTCAATCATCTAAAATATGATAGCAGAAAACCAATCTGAATTATATTCCAAATGTACTACTCAGTTCCTTTAATAAATAGCACAAACAAAGCCTGTTTTTAATGTTCTTTACCCAAACCTCTCTTTGTGCATGTGTGAGAAGTTGATGTCAAGTTGGAAATGGAACTCATCAGCATCCTGTGAACACAAGTCGTGGCCTAATTAGAGAGTCGGACCCGTAACCCAAAGGTTGCGAGTTCGAGTCTCATGTCCGGCAGGGATTGTAGATGGGGGGAGTGAATGTACAGCGCTCTCCCTTGAGCAAGGCACCGAACCCCCAACTGCTCCCCGGGTGCTGCAGCATAAATGGCTGCCCACTGCTCCGGGTGTGTGTTCATGGTGTGTGTGTGTTCACTGCTGTGTGTGTGCACTTAGGATGGGTTAAATGCGGAGCACTAATTCCGAATATGGGTAACCATACTTGGCCACATGTCACTTTCACTTTCAAATCTTTTTCTTCACGAATCTTCTTGAAGTCCTGATGGAACAGAAATAGTGGCAGTTCTTTTCTTTCATATTTTGACGTACATTCGAGTAAAACTAATTGTAGCGAATCAGCTCATGGGGAAATATGAATAATTAACCATAACTAATTATGATTAATTATTAATATTTTAGATCCACTGTAGATATTTAGCTGACCACTCAGGGTCAACCGTCTTGTCAATTCTAAGAACGTTAATTTCCTGGTTAAAGGAAATAACTTTCTTACTGTACAATTCTATAAGTTTGTAACGTAAATCTGCATGATTATTGACTCCGGTTATGAGTAAACAATGAACACGTCAAGTGTGATACAAGTAAGGTTTTATTAACTACATAAACACTTAAACTAGTCTAACATACTACATAAACACATTAAGCCGGTCTAACATACACACACACCCACATACAGTTGGTATAGGAAAGGGTTAAAGTTTAGCACTAAAGAAAGAGACATAAGGAATGACATTTATGGAACCATTTTGCATATTCAGCAGATCTAAAACCTGAGGGAAAACGTCAGATTCTTAGTTCAAACAAACCTTGTAAAAAGGTGTAACTGATACTTAATGCATCAATTAAATCGACTAAGTTTGATACTTGCGTATGTCTGAAAAAGATTCCTGATGCAATCTTAAGGCCCCAAGATCTTGCTGAAGTTGGTTGATGAGAAAGAGCTAGTTTGAGTCAGAATCACTTGATGAATGAAAAGGACTAGGCCGGAGCCTGGCACGAGCTTTGGTATCCTGGAGCGTTTCTCACATCTTCATCTTAGCATCTCACTGAACCACCGAACAGGGGCGGGTCACATGGAGTGTGGCCTTTTAAAGCCTGCAGAGATTCACGCCTCTCAAGATGGGTTCGTCCAATGAGGAAGGCTGAAATCCCAAGCGGGAGGTTGGAAATACTGGGGATTTTTATGACTCTTTGTCTGTAAGCATGGTATTTTGCATATGTAATTCGCTGGAGTGTTGAGGCACAAATTAGTACCGATTCTTAGAACATCAATATGTTGCAGAGGTATCAGCATGTAATATGCACTCTCAGTTAGATCATCCGAAGACGAATTCATAGATACTAGACATGGTAGAGTTACTTATATGAATGAGTGGTTTATCGTAAGCATGAATAAAAATAGTCTATAATACAACAGATTAAATACAACACAGCAATAATATACACAATGGCCTGAAGAAAATGGGTGTTCATTCAAAGAAGGTTTTCCTATGAATTAATTAGTAGAAAAGTCAGTTTCTCCTGTGCATTTGTGCCTTTCTTATGAGGAAAATGAGGGAGTTTATCCCCTGCATTCCTTTTAGGCCATAAAACCAGTGATATCAGCATTGGTTACCATGGAACCAGAGGCCTGTTCTGCCTTTCTGAGGTGTTAGGTGCATTTCGGGGGAAGGGGCCATAGACCCTCGTAATTGGCCATTTGGTTAGGTGATGGGGAGTTCGATATTATTTGTTAAATATAACAAAAAGTTGTGTGTCTGATTGGTCCAAATGCTACAAATTATTAAAGAAAAAATAAATGGTGGTACTTGGTTCTATGCATCAGTTGTTGATTGGATGGTGTCAGATTGGTTGAATGCGAGCTTTCAGTCAATTGTGACGGGACCGAGTTTAAGCAGACTAAATAAATTAAGAAGTCCATCTTACCTCACCAATCAAAAGTATGTCATTTTATTGGAAGATCTAGTCATGACATTTTGATTAAAAAAAAGAAACATATACTTGTGTGTTCACAATAAAATAAATGACATGCATTTAGAAAATACATGAGTTTATGTACATGAGACAATTTTCATTTCATGCCAACTTTAAACAGTGTAGGTTATTTTTTTAGATTTAGCTAATAGAGTAACATTCCAGAAGTCCTTCTTAAAATAATTTTGCAGACTGGATGACAACCAATTTGAAATTAAATTAATTTAAAGTATTGTGGTTCAGAATATATTTTCTTATACACACACAGACTGGCAGGAAAAAATGAATGTTATGTAAGGGAGTTTAATCTGGCCAAACTGCAGGAGGACACAGACAGTTCCGTGAGGGTTCTCATTAGGCCTGTCACGATAACAACTTTTTGTTGTGCGATATATTGCCCCAGAAATAATTGCGATAAGCGATATTATTGTCATTTTAAAGACCGTTTTATGCCACTGAATATATAATCATAATGTAACAGCATAGTAATGCAAGAAGGCCAACACACTTCCAAATGACAACAAACTTTTAATTTTTAAGAATATTTAGATCATGGGAACTAAGTATCAAAATATCAGATACCTTAAAAACTTGAATAAATGGTAAATGAACATTTTCTAACAAAAAGTGCAAAGTAACAAGTACAAAAAAAGAAAAATGCACAAAGAAGATTTTTACATCTACAGATTTGTTTCCTGACCTTCTTTTCTCTGTAAATGAAGGGTGCACACTATTGCTGAGAAACACAATCACTACTTAGCAGTCAGATGTCCGTATGCACAAAGGCACAGATCCCTGAACAAGGCCATATCTGCAGATGAAACTTTGTTTGTAGAAGCATTTTTTAATTTTGAACTAGCACCTCATGACTACACCACGTTATGTACGAGAAGCTGCAAAAGACAAGTGGAATGTAAACAGCACAACAGCACGATGACATTCATTTTTAAGTAAATATAATGGGCGATATATTGCGTCACCAAAAATTATTGAGGTTATGTACATATATTGCGCGATAAGTCGATATATTGTTTATTGCGACAAGCCTAGTTCTCATTGACAGGTGATGTTTTCAGAGGATCTCTTGCTGTTGTATGGCTCCTCCCTGTTAAGGTAAAATGCACAGAATTTCCATAATTGCTTACAATTATTGGCAATATATTAAATGTACTTATAAGAACAACCTCAGGAAAAATAGTTGTGTTACTATATGTTACGATAATTGTTTTAGTGCACAACTTTCAAGGTTAGTTTGGTAGAACCTGAAGTAAAGTTGATTGAGTGTCCATGTTTAGGCAATTAGAAAAAGAATAATCTTTTTTCTAGTATTTAATGGCCCTGTTCTGGATTATCCCATTGATTTTGTTTTGTGACTAGCATACAATGGGACAACTATCATCAACACTGGCACACACATACAACGACTTTCAGATGATGTAATAGGCCCTACTACTTCACAGAGACGGTGTTAGATCATTGTCAAGCTTTGCACGTCCTATTTCTTTTTGCTGTAGCTGTCTGCCCACTCTGAGCCCCAACAACAGGTCACTGACCCACAGCCATGTCCTCCTTCAAGATTTCCGCCCATTTAAAATAAGTTAAACGTCCACCGCACACCAAAAGTGAGATAGTTTAGTTTTATAAAGACCTCACCATCTCCATTGCAATCTGTTGTTATTATCTCTAAATGATCACCTCAGTTTTACAGTAAAGGCAGTAAAATATTGTCTTTTTTTCCTTTTTCTTCATTCAGGGGTAAAAAGAAGTTACTTTTACTCCAAGAAGTTATGAAATACCTTTACAGCAGTATTCTGTTAGCAACCATACTGACGCCGCCCACACCATTTATTCTAGGGCTGCACGATATTGGAAAAAACTCACATTGCGATATTTTATTTTTCTGCGATATATAATCAACGATAAAAAAATCAACGATTGGGGTGATTTAGGTCGAGTAAATCAGCATAGGAAATAAACAAATTACAAACATAGATAAATATAACAGAACAAAGATACAAATGAAATAAGCAGTGCTTTATATTTTTCAGGTAAGTCTAACAGTATTCAGGTACAGAAATTGAATAATCAAATGTAAAATAACACTGCATAGTTTTCACTGTATAAATTAAATCTAATAAATCTGTTAAAGCTACAAAAGTGATTTTTCTTTGTGTTTTGTTATTTGATTAACATTCTTAACACAGAAAGCCTCAGGAACATTAAACTGCTGTTAAACAATATACTGTTACACATCCATTTTCTTTCTCAATTGTTTCCCTTCATCTATGCCATAAGCATCTGTGTTTACAAGGATACTTGCAGAGCACAGTATTTCAGGCACAAATAGATGCAGAAGTGAACAGAATTCGGTGTTCACGTGCATCTGCGTGGCTCTCACCGTGTCTACACCAGACGCGAGCGGCGCGGCGCGACAAAATACAATAGAACCCATATAATCAGTGATGCTGTCTACACTGGATGCGGCGCGGCACGACAAAGTACTGACAGACACAAAGTTCAAATTATTGGCAACGGTCGCTTTGTCGCGTCCAGTGTAGACAGACTTTGGGGCCGTTCACATGTCGTGCCTAAAAAAACGCCAGTCGCGCCGCTTTCTCCTTCTTTCCAAAGTGCTCGGGAGCTTGCGCTTTCGTGGCATCTGCCGTTGGTAAGCAACCGTGACCTGCGCTCTCCACGATGACTCGGAAGTTTCAACAAAGGATAAACGGATTTCCAGCACTGAAAATCGCTTGCAGTAGCTC